ATGTGTCGTATGTATGAATCATACCCACGGTCTGATATCCTACCGACAACAAGAAGTAATAACTGAAACCTACTACTACTAGTAGTACTACTTCTACTGTCACTGAACAAAATGTCCAAGCATAACAAAAAACTAAATACCAAATATGCAATAATTAATCAAATACTCTAGTAGTAGGAGTACTTGGGACAGAAGGTATTTCCCCTTTTTTTTACATATTTTTGTACATACATACCTACGTACCTACGTACCTACGTACGTACGTACGTACGTACCTACCTACCTACCTACATACATACATACATACATACATACATACATAAATACATGCATACATACATACATACATACATACATAGCTACATACATACATACCTGAGCCCCGCGCCATAAAATAAAAAATGCCACATGGCCCGCGCCTGAAAATTCTTTCAGTGGATCCTCGTATGACCAGTACTGGTACTCTACTGATGATTTTACTTTTCTTATGAGAGTGCATGGCAGGATGAAGGTGCGGGTTACAGTTGCGGGTTGTTTTCAGCAGTGTTACGAACTGTAATGAGCCACTCTGCAAAATGCGTCACCACCATCACATAAGTTGCAATCCATCTATTTTTATGAAGAAACAAAACCACGAGAAGTATTTATTAATCTAATTCACAAATGACAACAATGAGATTCTTGAATTTTATAATAACCATAACCTTTGGTTCAGAACGGACCATACTCTCTGCAGGTTCCCAAGTTAAACGTACGAGTAGCCTGATCAACTACATTGACTACAACCAACGGGGAGAAAATCTGTCTTAGACTGGCCACTTACGTTCCAAGGTGAAGGTTATTACTAAAGCGAGAAGAGCATTTTTCAGTGACGAACGAACGAAACCTACGATTTGGATCCCTCCATCTCCATTTAGATCCCCTCAAGCCTCCACCAGGGTGTAATTTACTTTGACGAACGAACAAAATATACGATTTTGATCCCCTCAAGCCTCCATAAGGGTGTAATTGTCTTTTACGAACGAACGAAACGTACGATTTGGATCCCTCCATCTCTACTTTGACGAACGAACGAAACGTACGATTTGGATCCCTCCATCTCCATTTGGATCCCATCAAGCCTACGATTTGGATCCCCTACGAACGAAACGAACGAAACCTACGATTTGGATCCCCTCAAGCCTCCACCAGGGTGTAATAATTTTCTATTAGGAACGAACGAAACGTACTCTAGGCGCACGGGCCCAGGCCAACCAGGGAGCAGGTAGCGCGGCAAAAGTCAAAGACGTGTTTTCCATCCGACTTCTTCTTGCACTGTTTTTTGAGCTTCCGCGTGTTCTTTTTGTTCAGGTTGCCAGCGAATTTTTGCAACCATTTTTTGCTGCCACACGTCTTTTTCTTTTTGTTCTTGAACCGAAACGTGCTGTCGTCCTCGCAGCTGGTCGAAGACGAGGTACTTGCTTCCGTTGGAGAAAACGTCTCGGGAGTAGGCACAGGAGGCGGAGCGACTGGAGAAAACGTCTCGGGAGTAGGCACAGGAGGCGGAGCGACNTGGAGAAAACGTCTCGGGAGTAGGCACAGGAGGCGGAGCGACTGGAGAAAACGTCTCGGGAGTAGGCACAGGAGGCGGAGCGACAGGAGCGGGTACAGGTGCACTTGGGACACAGAAATCATGCACTTTGCGGTCTCCAAATGAATTACCAGAAAATAGTTCTTTTCCATCGAGGATTCCATTATAATTCCCATCATCTTCCAGACCATCACCATTTGAATCAAGAATTACAAACTGGTAGCAGCGTCCTGGTGTCAAGCAATAATAGCTTTCTGCTGACGGAAAGACGAGTTGGGTTTCAGGAGGATATTCTGTGCCATCATCTGGGCCCTGGTCAATGATAGTTCCACCAAGTTCTTGAAAAGTCCAGCTGGTGTCATCGCTGTAAAAATCAGTCCGTAGGTTGATCCTGAATGCACCAGAGTCCCCACAAGCAGGGCCTGGCGCAGGCACTGGAGGAGATACCGGAGGAGGTACTGGAGGAGGTACTGGAGGAGGTACAGGAGGAGGCACAGGAGGAGGCACAGGAGGAGGCACAGGAGCAGCTTGGACACAGAAATCATGTTTTTTGCTAGCCCCAGATAAAATACCAGAAAATAGTTCTTTTCCATCGAGGATTCCTTTGTAATTCCGAGGGGGGCTGTCATCAATTAGATCACGAATTTCAAGTTGGTAACAGCCTCCTTGTGCCAAGCAATAATATCCTTCCTCCGAGGGAAAGAAATATCGAGGCTCAGCTTCAATGTACCAAATTTTCTTGCCATCATCCTCGGCGACAACCGCTCCGCTGCTGTCTTGGAGGATCCAGCTCGTATCGTAGCTAGACCCAACATCAACATTTTCAATATCAATCCTAAATCTACCAATGCCTTCACAAGAAAGAAGAGGTGCGGTGCTTGCGATAACTTTGACTGTTGCATCTGTTCCAGAAAGTGACATAAATTTGATGTAGACTGTGTTCTCGGTGTCCCCAAAGTTTTTGATACCATAGACGTTGCCAACACTGAGAGCGGCACGACGCCAGCTCTGATAGTTGTCTAAATCCACTGCCGGTGGCACCTCACTGACAGTCACTTGATTAATTGCATCTGAAGTCTGCACATGTGGACCAGAAGCCTCATTGTACCCAATATACCAATAAGTTCCATTGCCTTGATCCAACCTCAAAACAATTAGCTTGGTGGAACTTCCATCTTTTTGATAGTGAACAATACCGTTCAAGACATATGTTCTGCTGGTGCCAACCCAATCTAGTGGATTGATTGTAGCTGCCTGATTACTATACCACCCCAATTGAAAGTTCTTGGGGGCGTTGAAACACTTGAGTGGAGCATAACCGTATTGTATCCCCATATTGCCTATTGCATCACCATACTCCTTGTTGTTTCTATTGCTATGGCCCAATCCAAAGTTGTGACCTATTTCATGAAAAGGAACGGTAAAATCTGCACAAGCTTTGTCGTTGTAAAAGCTCCAAGGATTATTTTGGTAAGCTAGTCCTTCCCAATCTGGGCCCTCAAAAGAACTAGCCCCAGGAGGTGTGCAGACTTGAATGAGGTGGTAGCTGCTAATTGTGTCCTTGTATTGCTTTTTTATAGCGTCCATACTTGCCTGTTCAATATCTACACCTTCTGCAGCAATATCTATGGAAACGTCCACAACTCCACCATTGCCAATGGGGGCAGGTTGGATGTCCAATTGGTTTATGGAACAGGCAGAATATTGTGAACTGATAGACAAAGAATCTCCAAAATAAAGATCCTGTAGTCTATTTGCATCAACTGTAGGCTGAGACCCAGTACTATCGATGATACGAGCAACCAAAAGATATTTTTTGCCGAGAACAGGACCTGGTGGTTTGTTGTTATCAAGTGTTCGTCCGATGCTTACGGATGCTTCATCGGCAATAGCTAGCTCTAAATCAGACGTAATTAATGATCTCTGGAGATAAGCACCCGTAGTCTTCATCACAGATTGCCCAGAAATAGGATGAAAAGACTTAATAAATTCTTCAGAAATTCCTTGAATGCTGCATATCATTTTGCCATCAAATTGAGAGGATGGGATCGTCAGCTGTACACACCATTTTGAAATGCTGTCTCCAGAGATAGTCATCGTGATTTTTTTGAACATGACGAGTTCGATTTGTCCTAGGAGCTGGCGGCGGTTGACATTTTCGATATTGTCCACTATTTCATGAGCGGAAGTAGCAACCTGAACCCAGTTTGCTAAAGCAAACATGAACACTAGTATCGTGACTCTGTTGAAACTTCGCATCTTTGAAGTAGCCTGCTCTTGTGTTGAAAGGCGTTATGTTGCAGGTTAAAAAACGATTTATGTGCTGATTCTTGTTCGGTTCAAAGCACAATACGATGCGCAAATGAAACATCGTGAGCAACAAAGCATCTTTCGATAGAAACGAAACCTCGGACGACCGTCGCGATTTGATTTCCGTGAGAAATAAGTCTCGAGAGTAAATCTTTTTCAGTTGTCAAGAGGGCTATTTTTCACATACTGTAGAGATGTAGAGAATCGCCAGTAGTACTTCACTCTCTTTGGCGAACTAGTTCCGAACCACGATCATCTGCGTAGAAATTAAAACATGCATTTCCTGCTCTTAAGTTCATTTTTTAATTCCGGTGCTACCGCACCGGTCGAACAATCCGGACAGTTCGGTACTACACCGAACCTCCTACGGCAACTGGTACAATCGGAGGAATATGCCCTCTTTAAAAATAATTTTCTGGGTTCCTTTTAAATCGCTCCCATTCGAGAACTAGTCGTAGTCCGGTACTACAGTATTGAACCGGTCGAACAACTTCGAACTTTGATCAGCATACCGAACGGTTCATAGCAACTGGTACAATCGGAGGAATATGCCCTCATTAAAATAATTTTCTGGGTTCTTTTTATTCGCTCCCATTCGAGAACTAGTCGTAGTCCGGTACTATTGAACCGGTCGAACAACTTCAAACTTTGATCAGCATACAGGACGGTTCATTACGATAAGTAACATACGGACACCCATCCTCCCACAGCAACCCCACTACACTCGGAGGAATATGTTCTTTTCAGTCGCTCCCATAAGAGAACCAGGGGTCATAATTTAGACCCCTGAACAGAACTACCTACTCGTACCGGTACTATGTACCGTACGGTACGAGGTAGAAAAAGCAAGCTACTACTACCTCCGTCCAGATATAATTGTACACTTTGCAGTACTCAATTTGTCCAGTAATAATTGTTCAGTATGCAATGGCCCTATAGAATGTGTATAATAAGTACTACTGCAAGTACTACAACTATTGTGTCACCATTCATATTTAAGACTTTTACTACTATAACTACTATCACTACTATAGAACCACCAATACAGCACTAACTACTAGTACTAGTATTGGTATTACTAGTAGTACTATTCTTGTTGAAGTCTGACAGTACTGAACGTGCGAAGGCGATCTTCTTGTTCTTTTGCTTCTTGGTTGCAAATGATTGATACTCCTACCAGAAGCTCCCCTTGGCAAGAAAGCTTTTCTTTCCCAAGGTGTGGAATCTTGTAAGTGTTGTCACCACCAACACCAAGTGACTCCTCCATTGCACACCACTGTAGTGACAAAAAACCTTGTTTAGAGGAGTCGCACGTTTGGATTCTTCAAATGCAGCATTCACGTTGGCAATCAATGTATCCATATTCAACGACCACTTCTTGTGCTGAAGGCTCTGGATAGAATTGAAGAATCCCAGATCAAGAACATTAAAGTTGGGACTGTTAGTAGGTGGTTGGGGCTTCAAAACAATGTTCCAGCAGTTCCTCTCACGAGCTGCAGCAGTCACAGCTACTCTGGTGTTGAGTGTATGAGGCTTAGCGTTGTCTTCCTGGATTACACAACTTGGAACAACACCATTGTCTCTGGGGAACTTCTCGTAAATGGCTGGTAGAACTTTTCAATCATGAGCTTCCTGTACACTTCTTCATTGACGTTAATAGTAGGGTTTTCAAATCACATCATAAGATCTCTGCGCTGGTCTGCTGTACTCCACAATAGGCCAAATACCAAGCTTACCATCAAACCAAGCATTCCTACCATGATCAAATCTGGGCCTTGCTGTTGCACATAAAAACATCACCTTCTTGATATGCTGCTTTGACCAGTAGAACCCTACTAACAGAAAAATCACATTTATACTATGCCAAAACAGGGCCTCTTTGAATAGCTATAAAGAGTGCACAAATGCCATAAATCTATTGCAATTAACACAAGTGTATACCACTGCAATATAAGCATTCCAATTGCCCAAATATTGAGCTTATTTCAACTGAAGAGGTGAAAAGTGTACAATTATATCTGCATGGAGGTAGTAGCTTCTAATTTGGGCCTATTGGGTCATTCATTTTGATCTAAATGATCTAAAAACAGGACCTCAATGGGCATTTTTTAGGGGCTCTTCTAGTCTTATAGGAATTTGGAATCTCAACAGAAATGACTAAGACTGGAAAAGCGTGCCTGGGCTTTTTTTGGGTAATAGGTGATTCCCAGGATTTTCACTAAACCAGCTCTGTCTTCGAAACTTCTTCGGAAACAGAATCGTTATCCAAAATTGAATCCTCGTCCTCCAAAACAACAACAAAAACAGTCTCCATCCTCACTATTTGGCTATTGATTCCTCCTTCACAGTAAAAACACCACACTACTCCTTTACAATCATGACCCCTCAGATGGTCTTAATTGCCTGGACAGCTTCCCTTGAAGAAGAGTAGCACCAGCAGCAAGAGGAGACACCAGCGAAACAACGGCTGTCCCTTGAAGACAGGCGCCATCATGACAGGAGGATTACAAGAATTGCACTCATGGAGTCTAATGAATCCCCAGTCACTTATCTGTTTGGTAGTGGTGATAGTAATCAGGCTATTCTAAACTGTTGTGGTGTTGACCATAATGCAATTATTAGACCTCCCTGTGATGGAGAAGTGGAGGCATACATCGCAGCAATAGGAAGGAAGTATCCTGCACTTGGAACAAAGAAGGTCTGGGGTGCAGCAAATAGGCTGATAATTAAACTTGAGCATTCCTTGAACTGGGACATTCAAGCCCTTTTCTATAACTCATGGGTTAATGACACGTGCGTCCTAGTGTCCTTCTCTTTGCACCAGATGGGAGAATCCGGACAGCCACATTTAACTTTTCAGGGAGTATGCACAACAGTACCATGGCAGATTATGGCCTATATGAGAAGGCAGAAAGCATATATAACAGGACAGGGGGAGAGTTGTTGTGGATTCCATGTTTAAGGTCAGAGGAGCTAAGTATCTCATTTGAAGCCAGCAAAATGATCCAGATAATTTCCCCACAATGGCACAGAACAACCAGGCTATAGTAATCAATAGGCAAGCAACAGCTGTCCACCAGCTATCTGAATGGGGCAGGCAAATGATTCAAGAGCAAGTCCCACGGATGAAGGAGAGCAGGCTTACCTTTGAAGAGCTTGGAGATCAGAAGGTCATTCTTAATCTCTTGTTCTTGTTGTATAATCATCAATGCAGCAGAG